CAGTATTGGATTAATCATAAGCTGTCTGGGCAAACTGTCAGATGTAACAGCAAAGTCCAAGTTCTGGTGAGCCGGAGAGGTGGAGGTGAAGAGAAGGCGTAAGAAGGGACGTGCCAGGCAGAAAATGTCTCTCGTAACAACCCGTAACTGTGGCTCTGTGCAGTTAGCTGTTATGGTTGGCTCCGAGCACACGTAGGAGCTCAGGCGCTCAGCTCGCTGTGTCCAAAACTGGTGTGTGGCTTGCTTTGTGCAGCTGTCGGAGCCTTTTCCAGAGGAACACGCATGCCCAGTCCCACACATCCCTGTGTAATCTCTTTAGCTGCGTCTCCTTCCTTCCTCTTAGCCTTGTAAAATACAAAGCATGGATTCAAATACTGATCCAACTGGTCTGCAGGCCAGTCTTCTGGGCACTTTTGTGCCTCAGCCTGGGAGTGTTGCTGAGTAGCTCAGATTTCCCCGTTACACATGGGGTTGCCTCCTGGTTGTGCTGTGTCAAAAGTTAAAGGCTTGAAAGGCAGTGGTGGTTGTTAAATCTGTGTCAGATGTCAGTGCCACAAACTGACTACACAAACACCGCTGCCTTTAGTTAATGATCAGCCAAATCTGGTGGGGAATTAGTCTGATATTAAACATTCTACAGATATGATAAAAAAGCTTCTTTTATATCCAGGTTTCCTTGCTGGCTTGTCCTCTCACCTCCAACATCAGGGTGCTGGCCAGGAGATTATGCTATCATGCACTCACCTGCCCTTTCTTCTCTTCCCTTTCCCCCAAATCCTTCGAAAATCACAGTTCCTCTTTTACATAATGTGACAGCTTGTACACGAGAGGTGAAGAGTGCCCCATCCACCCACCTTTGACATTGGCATCGCCCTTCGCTCAGTGGTTTCTGGAAAGGCGCAGAAAAGGCCTTGAGCCCTCTCCCCTGTTTCCCACACATAGAGAGGAGAACACAGGGTCCAATCTCATGCTGGTACGTGCTCTAGCCATTGAGCTGTTACATTAAAAAGACACTATGACTTTCCTTGCCCATGGTTTTTGAATGAACCAGTCTTAAATCTTTGGCTGCATGCTGCCTGATCCTGCTGGAGTTAGACTTTGCGCACTAAGTTCAAGTCTATGGGAGTGTAAAGCAGAGGGATTGTTCATTTTCAGGATCAGATCAAGTTTAGATATGAGGCACGCAGCTGAAATTCTCAGGGCAGATTAGACCGAGGCAGAAGATGTACCTTTAGGTACTTACAGAAATGTATTGTCAAAACTTGAGCATGTTTTGGTTTTATATACCTGGGACTAGGTTATTGACTAGATGATTAACACTGTCCTATGTATATCTATAGCCTACAATTTACAACTATCTCTAAAAATGCCTGTTCTCCTCGAGCAGATGTGTATGAATTATGATGATCACCTTTCTTGGACATGGATGCTTCCACAAATTACAGTTCAAGCTGTTCAATATCAGGGTCTGAAAAGATGGTCTCCTAGCAGGATGTGTAAGTGAGCAGTGTTCTTGGAAGTATCGATTACTTACAGGTAAATTATTATGCAAACAATAATCTTTAAAACATAAAATTCTGGATGGATGGAACCCCAGCTCCCTCAATTTTCATTCCAAAACAACACACATAGAAACGTACCTGAAAAAATAAAAAAGAGCACTGAGATGAACCCAGTAGGGCTTACTAAAGCACAGTGTTATAAAAAATTCTGCATACTGGTAAACAATGGGGCTGCCTGAATGGAAAAACAGAGAAAACCCCACCCAATAATTCAGAATTCATTCAGTGACGAGAGGGGCGACCCAAGCTCCCTGCCTTTTCCATTGCAGTGACTTTGAGCCCTGTATTTTTCCCCCCCCCAGCATTTCCCTCACCACCAGGACACAGGCTGTGGGGAAACAAAAGCAGCCCTTGTCATCCTTTCTGGGGAAGCTGTGCAGTTCTGCGGAAAAGAATTCAACATGCACGTCCCAGGTAGGGGGGTGACAGTGTAGTCTGTTAGGGAAGGCCCTTTGCTAAGAGAAAAGAGACTGGGGTCCATTGCCCGCTCCGAGGACTGTTCAGACACCTGAAACAGTTCTCAAACCACAGACTACCACCCAGACCTTTCACCTCCCAGGGCCGTGATTACCAAACTGGAAAACTGTTCCCTTTCTATCTCCTTGGCAAACTCAGCATAGTTGCAGGTGGATAATTAGATCCCCCTGTTTCTTTGTAACCCGCTGGACACAGCATTCTCCTGTCGTCCGTATGAACGCCCACAACCAAGGGAGGCCCTGGTGCTCCTGCCCTTATTCCTAGCAAACACAGCAACTAGGGGGTATTAGTTGTCTGTAACGGACTACTAACTAATTATCCACACACACAGCAATAACTAACTACCCACACACACAGCAACACGCAGAGGGAGCTCCTTCTTGCAAACATGGCCTTGCACACAGAGACCACTGCTGTGTTTAGAAAATCCATTCCTTGTTTGTCAGGCATACCTCGCGCTAGGCCTCACCTGGAGTCCTGTGTTCAGTTCTGGGCCCCTCACTACAAGAAGGACACCGAAGCGCTGGCGCGTGTCCAGAGGAGAGCCACCAAGCTGGTGAGGGGTCTGGAGAACAAGTCCTATGAGGAGAGGCTGAAGGAACTGGTTTAGTTTGGAGAAGAGGAGGCTGAAGGGATACCTCATTGCCCTCCACAACTTCCTGAAAGGAAGAGGTGGGTAGGTAGTAGAGAGGTGGGTGTTGGCCTCTTCTCCCAAGTGAATAATGACAGGACCAGAGGAAATGGTCTGAAGTTGCAGCAGGGGAGGTTTAGATTAGATATTAGGAAGAATTACTTTACTGAGAGGGTGGTCAGGCACTGGAACAGCCTGCCCAGGGAGGTGGTGGAGTCACCATCCCTGGAGGTATTTAAAAAATGTGTAGATGTGGCTCTTTAGGGCATGCTCTGGTGCCCAAGATTGTAGTTTGGGTTTTTTGGTGTGTGTGTATGGTTGGACTCGGTGATCTCAGAGTTCCTTTCCAACCATGACAATTCTGTGATTCTGTGATATGCTGAGCACACCTTCCATACCAAGTCCCTTCGGGGTACCACATGAAAGATCTGAAGTGGATTTGGCCTTGCCAAGAGAGCAACAGGCACGTACAGAGCGACCAGATTAAGTTCCTAGTGGTATAAATGTATGTGTTAATGGCTAAGCTGAGACATAAGGAGATCTTGAAAGGCGGTTTTGAAGATGACAGTATAGATAAGACTGCCTCAGTAGCAAGAGCTCAGCGAGCTTCTATTTATTTGCTTTGCCTAGGTTTCCCTGGAAAAAAGGGATGTGTTCAAAATTGAGACATCTGTGCAAATGAGCAATGGGACAAGGCATTACTTGTTTTTACTTCAGGATAAACACAGTGAACCTGGCACCTTCGCCAGGCAGTTCTTTGGCTAACCACACCGACCCTGCCAGGAGCCTGCTCTGAGATCGCAAACCCCAGTGGGCTCTTTCAGTACAAACACACCTATTTTACGGTACCATTTCTAAAGGACCAGTGAGTTACAGTGTGTACTCATGTGGGCTACGATTCTTCTAGGGAGAGAGAAGATCCTCCAGAGTAAAATAGCAACAGAGTAAAGTATAAAACAGAAACAATGATTCAAATTTCTTTTTTACGTACTTGAACACCTATGGGTGAAAATGCCATATAAGAGCAAGGCAATACTTTATTTGCATGGTTAACAAGGACACACAGATATTATCCACCTAATTGGTGGTGTTTAACATAGAAATAGTGATCTGTTAAAAGATGCAGCAGAACAGCCCTGCAGCTTCTAGGAGGTGCAGCGAGAAGGTGAATGCGACGGAGGAAAGGTGGCAGATTTCTCAGTCTTTCTCTCCCCCCAGCCCGTGATGCAGACGGAGCACACCAGTGACACATCCCATCTGTGCAGAAGACAAGGGTAGTATCTGAGAGCTTCAACACAAGCAGGCAAGGGATCCCAGGACAGCACCAAGGTCGCAAGGGTGAGAGAGCACACCCTTGTTATTTCCTTGCTTTGGCAATGTTTGCTGCCTGGGCTGCAGGCACTGTATTTCACCGTTACCTATCTGCCTCTCTTCGCTGAGGCGGTGCCGGGCTATGGGAGAGAGAATGAACCCTGAGGGAACCCTGAGGTCTGTGTTCCAACACAGTCGGCATAGCTGAGGGAGAGCAAACACGACTCGCACGCATATTCGGCCACCAAAAATTTATTTCTTTTATAAAAACAGCCTGAGGCGGGGGAAGACGGGGGGAAGAGGTCGCTCCCTCACCCCACTGGCGGCGGCTGACCTCCCCTGGCAGCCCAGCCCCGACGCCGGGGGGGCACCGGCAGTGGTGGCGGCGGGGCCCAGAGGAGCAAGGGTAACGAAGGAAAAAGCCCTAAACCGGGTTACGGTCCCGCCGGGGGCGGCGAACACCCCGAGAGGAGCCGCTCTCCTTCCCTCCCTCAGGGCTGAGGGAAGAAACCACAGCGGCGGGGCCCGCCCAATCCCAGGCCCAATTCAGGCCGCTGAGGCCCCAGCCGGGCCCGGCGGCCCTGCGGCCCCTCAGCCGCCCCTGCTCTGGCGGGGCCGGGCCGGGCCTGCGCGGCCGGCG